TACTGGTTTATATTGAAAATTTTGGTTTAAAATATCTTAACACTACTCCCACTTACTTCCAATTCATTCAATAGATGTGTATATGGCATTTTTGCTGGGCCAGGCATCGTATAATGATGAGCTAAACTGACAGACTTGTCCCCATGGATCTTAGAGTCTGATGGATAGATCTAAAGAAAATTAAACTAACTGCTCCTTTAAGGACTGAGTATATAATACGTCATGTCCTCCTTCTAATAATTAAAAACTGATCCCCCCAAAAGCAGCTGTACAAACATGTAGACCATAATCCATGTTTACCTTGCTACTGTACACGTGACTAAGAAGGCAAAAATTGGCACATTGATTCTAAAGAGAATCCTGGAAATACAAATTCCTGACAATACAGTGCCATCCTTTATGCTAAAGTGATTCCTCAAAACTCTAAACAGGACTCCAGAATGAAGACAAGCCCACTACCCCTGATTTCTAACAATTAGAAACATGGAGAATTGATCAAAAGGAGGGATGCGATGTTCAAATTCTGTTTGCTGGCCATTATCTGAATTGGCTCTAAGTGATTAATATTTTCTTAGAAGACTCTCTCTTTTGATATTTGTATGTGTTGCCAAAAAATTCCCAGGCCTTCCATAATTCTTTAAGAGTTCTCAAATCCTAGTGAAGATTAATGATCACCAAATAGTGCTCCTACTACTATTGTGTTTCCTGTTAAAAGTATGAAATGCAAAATTCGATAGATTTCTTCCAATAAAGGAGTATAAAGAGATTTCCTTAAAATTACAACAATTACAAATTCTGTTATGCCTTTTATTCTGAAAATACCATAATATTATCAGTGGTCATTCTCGGGAAACAATATTGGCATTCCTCATTCTTACAACTAAAACCTAAATCCAAGAGCCTTTGTGGTATAGACTTTGATTACTACAGTCCTGGAAAAAAAAATTGAAGCAAAGGCTTCCCCATAGAACAAGGGAAAACACAGACATATGGTAGCTAGAGAAGGAAAAAACATTGTAAACCCAATGTCGTCCACCCCATATCTATCAAGTGTCCTTTGTAAAACTGATGTCTACCCCTGATAACAAGAGGGGTAGGCAGAGTCTGAAGTCAGAATATCAAACACATTTGAAAAGAAAACAGGCAGAAAAAGAATCACTTCTATCGGGCACTAGCCAAATGTCCATTTTTATGTACTGGCTTCTTTCAAAATATTCAATCACACCTAATAATTGGCAGAGAACACAAAAACGCTCTCACTCCCATGCTGTTGCATTCACTTCCCCTGGGGTACGTGGCCATTTGTAACCACTAGCAGCCGCAAGGAAAAAACCCCAGGAAGACCAGACACGTTCAATTACACCCCCACCCCTCCTGCCTTACACCTCTCTGTTATTAATATACTTTAGCCTTGTGGGTTAGGAAAGGGTCCTTAAAAGCATCAAAGTAACATTTTTCTAACATTTCTGTTAGAGAACTAAAGGATTTTTTTTATTAAGAAAAATATAAAGACAAGCTAAAATATCAAACATCATGTTCAATTGATGATTCCTGAACACTTTTCATTTAATAAGCTTCTCAATGGTTTGTTAGAACTAAGAACGTGTCTCACTCACAGAATAAAATACATGTTTTATGAAATCTCCACAAAAGAAGAATGATTATTCTTGCTTTGGAATAATTCTTATTCTTGCTGCTTTAAAAAAAAAATTGGTTTCTGTTCTTCATCTCTATGCTGCATGCTGTCTAAACAAAGATGTATAATTAGTTGGGTCCAATCTGAGAAGGAGTCACAATAGTATATGTATTTTCTCATTTACTAATTCCAAAATTGTGTGGATAGAATCCTTTATTTTTAAGTGATATTCTACAAATACTGGGATAGATTAACTCATTAATTTCACCATCAATTTAGTAGTAGTAGTTACTACTAATAGTTCAGCAATATTCCAAGTGACTTATTTAATATAAATTATTAGAATATGCAGAATGAAAATGCCTCTGACAGTCATTTCCTATACAAATATCTATTGAGCACTTAGAATGTGCCTATGGCTCTTCTAGTTGCTGGGAATATCATATTAAGGTAAGCCCTTTGGTATCTGCAGTCTAATGGAGGTGATTAGAGAGGTAAAAAGCAAAAATAACAGTTTAGTAAGTGCTTTGCTTTGTGAGCTCATGGGCACTTACATAAGAGGACAACCTCGGCCACATTTTGGGGCCATAAAAACTTCAGGGGGAACATAAGAGGCCTGGAAATGATAGAAAAGTTAGTCAGGTGATGATGAACAAATGTGCTTTAAAAAAATCATTGGACACAAAGTCAGCTGAAGACTGATGAATGTTTGTGAGCATGTGTTGCTCCCAAGTCAGTTAATCAGGACAAATTTTCTGGAGAAGATCAGCCTGGAGCACAGTTTTAAAATAAGGAAATCACAGCCTTAGGGTAGAGGGGCAGTCCTTTTTGCTCTATCTGTCTTTGGTCTTACTCTAAAAACAGACAAGAAACAAACTGTGTCTCTAGGACAATCCTAAAAGAATATGCTAAAACACACCAAGCCAACAACAACAACAACAACAACAACAAAATTAGAGGTGAAACAGCAAGAACACAATTCCTTGAAATATACTGGCTTGAAATATCTTGGCTTCAGGACTTCTGATACCCAACTCCCCAAAATAAATGCTCTTGGCAATGCCACTCATTAAGGAGAATTACCCCTAAGGATGCCACCAAGATCTCAAAGCCTAATGCACACTTCTGTGATGGCAGGACAACTCCCAATTATAAAAACAAGAGCGGTAGTAGGAGTCATAGCACCGCAATGAAATTATGCTGCATATTTAGAAAGTTCTAGGAGGGCTTTATGTTCATAATCTCATCTCACCCTCACAAAGCCTCTGCACGGTAAGTATTAGCATCACCCTTGGTTTATGAATGAGGAAGTTCAAACTTAGGGAAGTTCACTGAAGTATCCCCAGTCCCACAGCTGGTGGATACAGGAGTGAGATGTACACACAAGGTTGCCTAATTCCCAGGCCCATGGTTTTTAGAGCACGATCCATCTTGGTTTACTGCCTCCAACACCATTCACCAACATAAAAGGCCAACACCAGCTGCCCTACAACAAAGGAGAAAGGCAAGGAAAGGGCTGAAGTAGAGCAAGAGAAAGGAGGAAAAGGGTTCGTCCAGAACCTCTACAGTTGCAGATTAATTACTACAATTGCAGAAGGGACTGGAGAGATAGCACAAAGGAAAGATCTGACTTAGTTTATTGCAATAGCACAGTATTTACACTGTTTAAAAGAATATGCAAAAGATAACATGAGGCACAGTAGCCGTGTTTCCAGAGTTACCACTTCACACGTTTTACATTTTGTGCCCTTCTTCAAACAAAGAGGCTGGACTTCCTCTTTACCACTGGGCAACCAACACTAAAAAAAATAATTCTGAAGGTAAAAATTTTCCATTCTTCCTTTTTACATATTGAGCAATACAATACCATTATATTTTAAGAAAGAGTAACAATCCTTGCTTTCATCTTTGAGTTTTAAAATAAATTGTTCCATCTGTATCATCAGTGAGAGAAGAAAATGTGGTTGATTAGCACTGAGTTCTCATCACAAATAACTAATATTTATCCAACACTTATTCTTAATTTTTATTGGTTTGAAATCTTCCTCTTTTTTTAATACACTGATCTTCAGTAAACCTATAGGTGTAAATCACACCCTCAAAATATCAAAGGTAATGATTCTACTTGGGGTCTATAACCTACAGGCAAAATCCAGCCCCTTGCCTCTTTTTGTAAACAAAGTTTGATTGGAACACAGCCATACTCACTCATTTACTATTGTCTATGGCTGCTTTTTAGCGACACCAGCCAAGTTCAGTAGTTGCTATAGAAACCATACAGTCCACAAAGCCTAAAGTATTTACTATCTGGCCCTTTATAGAAAAACTTTGTTGATCCCTGCCCTATGCCATTGACACATTCACAGATAGAAGACTTCATTATTCTTCTCTAACATCTGTCTTCTGGATACTCATCAATTCACTCATTCATTCATTTGCTAATCAACTAATGTCTGTGAAACATCTTCTGTGTCCCTGGCACATAGATGAAGAATGGGTTAGAGACTCGTGGGGAAACAGACTAAAGAATACCACCAGGTGATGACTGCTCCAGTAAGACAGGAGCCTGGTAAAAACGAAACCCTGGAGGCATCAGGCTGAGGGAATCTGATAAGGTCTCAGGCAGTATACAGTTCGGGCGCTTCAGGTATTCTGGTTGAGATACTATTACCCATTTTAACAGCGATGTCAAAAATCACTGGGTTACATTATGCTTTTACGACTTCACAAAAGGCACGTTCTGACTTATTGATAGATCTTTAAATATTATAAAAGTGTTGAGACGGTTTGGAAGAGATATAGCTTCTCTGTGACATCAGGAGAGCTGATCATCTCCAAGCATCTGATAATAAGGGCACCAGCTCATCCCCAGAGTTGTAAGGACTAAGTAACATTAGGTGTCAGACAGAACATAGTCAGGGAAACTATTCAACACAAGATTCACCTGCGCTTGGTGGCCCACAACAATCAACTGCTTATATTTCCTTTTTTGTTTACCCACCAATCCCACCAAAACCCCATTGGTCTATGTTGAACCTTGTAACTAGAGAAGTTAGCCTCATGTGTGAGCAGAAAATAAATACCTAATAAATAAATGATTGATGCAATGAGTGAGGATGATTGCTCCTTTGGTGTTTTAATGAATGGCAAAGGATGAAATGAATACTATGACATACATTGTCTGAGTGAATATCTAGGACTCAAGCTTAAGTATAAGCTTAAGCTTAGCTAAGTCAGCATAAATGGCATTTTAAAATATGCTTGCTTTGTTTTTCTTTTTGACTTATTGAATACTTACCTCCCTGGTAATGGATAAAAACAATGGGAAATTCTTAGCAACCTAAACAACCAAATAAGACTTACATTTAACTATTATAATGTGATCAATTTATTTTTCACCAAACAATAAACATTTGATTCGACTGGGTACCTGGAAACAGGCTGTGCTTTACATATAAATTAGCCACGTTTATTAAAGAGTGTTAATAAAAGTATGTTGACACTTTTCCTTTCTTAAGTGATTTTAAAGTGACATTTTATTTCCATGTATTTGCATTTAAATATTTAAATAATTGTCCATTGACCTAAGCAAAATAAATACTGCAAAAGAAAACCAAAAAAATGTTCACTTGTTAAAACAACAAAGAAATTGCTTCATTTTGGAAGGAGCAGTACACCAAGGTAATCTTTTATTCCACAAATATAAATTGACATTTTATTCAATTAAGAAAGATTGCTAGTGTAGTTGCAAACCTTTACAATAAATGTTTATATGGGGACTCTCAAAGCTAGTGAGGGTATGATCTATCAATTACATCAGAAAATATACTCTATTTTAGCTTGATAAGATTTATATGCTGAATGTAAACACTCCTGGATTTAAAAAATATACACATGATTGATAGATTTCTTGGCTCTGACACCATGAGAGGATTTGTTTTATTTTGTTTTGACTGTATTCTCTGGTATAAGTAGAAATCACTGTTTAAAAGCATTATGTATCTAAATAGTTCTAAATATTTTTAAAAATCTAAATGAAAAGAAAAAGCTACACCTAAATTTTCTCTTGCCTTTTTCATGTGGCCAAAAAAAAAAAAAAAAAAATCTGATGTGACAAGTTTACAAGAATCTCTGTTATTCGTTTCCTTTATGTAGCCCAGCTTCTTGTTTACTTGTGATATCCCAGGGTGTTCTCACAAAAATTTATTTCAAATCTAAAAGGCAAAGATAATCACTACTTTCAGCAATAAAAGGTAACAGAAAGAAATTGCAGTTTAAATATAGAGAGCATATAATTAAGAACAAGAAAAATTAAAGTATTCTTGAATATGTGTTGCTTTAATTTTTCTCCTGATGGCTTTTCAGATTACCTTAAAAAGATCTATCAAAACTCCTCCTCTAGAAAAGATCTGCTAAAAGCCACAGACACTTGGAGATCCACGAGAAGGAAAAAAATGGGTCATCTTATAAAATTGATTATGTGAGTTGTCTATATGCAGTGCATATGTCAGCAACAAGGAAAACAACCTCCAGATATATTCTGCAGGCAGATTTTCTTCTGGAGAAAAACCTATGTTTTCCTATACATTGTGAAGCCAACAGGGTAGGGTAGGAGCAGTTAAGTTTCATCCATAAGCATCTACATCAGGCTGGTTTTTGAAAAGAGAGTCAAACCCACAATAGCCCAGAAAATAATATTTTGTAATAACAAAAATGGTATATATATATATTTTTTTCCTGTCTAAATCTGGAATCCTGACCACCTTATTTTAAACAAGCCAGAGATTGCAAGCTTCAATCTGTTTGGATAGAAAAGAATTTATATAAATGTTTTGTTCAAGCCCAAAAGGGAAAGAGAGTTTAAATATACAGTGCATGAAAGATGCATGCCCAACTTCAAAACAGCTTAGTGCGCAGAAGAGGAAAAATAATCTAACCTTCTGTTAGTCATTCCCAACAGTTTTTAAGCTTAAATATCTTGCAATTTGCAACATCATTTCAATGACCCCCAACAGTGAGAGATTAACCAAAATTTCATAACTGCCCCACTCTCCTCCCCTCATGCATCTTGAGGGGAGGAGGAGGAACAAGAAGGTCAAAGAACAAATGGAAACAAAATCTGTGTTTTGCACTCTTTCTCTGCACTTGAGAAAGAAAAGGAGGCAGATAAATCTGTATAATACTAAACCAAATCTCTTTAATTCCAGTCAGCTTTTATCATTCAGCCACTGAGTCTGTGTGTGGAAAAATTCATGCTAATTCCCCCTAGCAACAGCCTCAGCCTATCAGGAGACTTTATGTACCATGCAGCTGCCAGCCAGAGAGAATAACTCTAAGTAGGTCAGGCCTGTATTTCTAAAAATGCTACGGTCTAGTAACCCCACTGTCCCGTCTGTCTGCCCTGCCCCATAATAACCTCAATTGCTTGGTGACACAATGACATACTATCCTGTTAGAGTGCAATCACATCATGCTACATTATTCTGCTGCGAGCATGACTGCTGGGTGAAGGACCCTCGGAGGGGCAGCATTAATCAGGCAGGCATTCATGTCCAGCAGCACTTCGCTCTAGAAATGGGGACTGCATTAATGACCAGCTGTTTGAACTAACACAAACAAAATAATGTCTTCCACCCTGTTGGGTGCACAGAATACTATTCTGATCTGGCAGGTTCCGCTTCTTGACTAAATCGAAGATGTAAATTAAACGGGCTCAGACAATGTCAGTTTTGGCAACCTCAAACTGAGTATATTTAAATTATATTACATGTGATTCAAAAAGCTATTGATTTAATATATGCAGCTTTCCATGCTACAATTTTCCCTAATCCACATTTTAAAAAAAGAAAAAATGCATACATGGGTAATGCAATACATATGCACATATTACCCAGCAAGCTAAACACGCAGAGCTGAACTAAAATTGACTTCTCTTTGGGCAGAGAAACAAAGCGGGTCAGGAGTAATTGTGCGGCATGAACACAAATACAAATAGAAAATGAATGCCGTGGAGGAGCACTGAAAACAAATAAGAGTAAACATTCTAAGCCTACGGACCAATCAGCTCCTCCCACCATCTCTTTGTGGAGGCTTCGGTAGCACCCAAATCTCCAAGCACAAGAGACAAGGGAGGGAAGTGAATGTGGCCTTCAAACCTCAACAATTCTGGTACGCTGACTTCCCATAACGTTTACTGACAAGCTGCTGTTTGGCTTCAAGACAACAAAACCTCCTTCAAGGTTTAAACTTGGGAGATCACCATAAATCAAAACTCCTTAGTTGTTTTTTAAATTCGAAAGTGGGAATTTTAGAATTTAATTTACCCTATTCACTTGAATGTCACTTTTGACTTCTCTCTATTGAAATGCACAAAAACAAACAAAATTATGTGTGGATACAGAGATAGGAGACTGGCAGTGCCATTTTTGGCTATTTAGTAAAACGTCTTGTATTGATAGAGCTTGCATTGATATTTTCTCACATGATTACTTTGCATGTTTAAGCGTTCACAGTTTCATTAAATGAACATATCCCCCCGATAAATTGATAATTCAGCCTTCAATTATACAGAATTCAGTAAGTCTTATTTGTATAATCCATCAGTATTTGATTTACAAACAGAAAATTTCTTAATCCATTTGCCCTTGTTTGAACTGGGTTTGATAACTTAGTTATGACTATCTTCTTCACTTTGTGGCACACATCACATAGTTATTCTTGGACAGATACAGTCACTGACGCAACCACGAACCGCTAATTACAAGCTGGTGACATTCTGCTTGTCTATGCAGCTTTGAAGTTCTAAGGCTGTTTTTCTCTTGTGCGCTTGCTCTGTTTCATTCTCTTCTCCTCATGCCACCCACCCCCAATCACTTACTCTCTCTTTCCTCTTTTCACTTTAAAGCCTTTCTGGATTCACTCTAGGACTATCTGGAGAAAGAGGTAAGAATGATCAGATTCTGTAACTTACTGCTTTTCCTTTCCTTCTGTACTATCCCTGCACACAGATCTACAGTTTGAAAGTACAGTAATAAGATCCTCACCCAGCCCCACCCGCAGGAATGCACCAACAGCTGGCCAAACATAATCCAACACACAGAGCTGCCTTTGTAGAAATAGTAACAAACAGTGGAAGGGCCAGACAGGCGTCCCAGAAGAGCTCCCCATGACAACTGGGAAAGCTCCTCACCCCCAGGGTGGAGCTGACTCCACTGAGCTGGGGTTGGAGAACCCCAGTCCTCACATTTGAATCTACAACAAGCCTCAAGTGCCTGCCCTCAACCTCACTAGAAGCTACTTGGAGGGCATTCGGCTCTCCATAACAGCAAGTTAGAAGCGAGCATTCTCCATACTGACAACGGCCATACTCTGCCTCATGGCACATGCCTTTTGAAATGCAACACTGCAAATCTCCAAATCACATGAAGAGCATTTACACCTGTATCTAGCCATCTTAGCTGTGAGCTGGTAGGACCACCTCTCCTCCTTAGAAAATAATTTCTTTTTGCAAATTATAGGCTGATCCCGGCATTCTGAAACATGTAAATATAACACTGTATTCATCTCCACTGAGCATTTAGCATCTGAAGCCTGTGGTAGCCAGCTGGTCTCAAAGTCATCTGGGATACATTTATTTTGATTAAATTGATCAGATTTCTATTTACAGGATAGAATTTTTTGCCATTACTGAATACAGCTGTGTTTACAGGGATTTGTAGAAGAAGAAAACAAAACCCCACAATCGGTCCTAGCAAAGCACAGAGCATTCAGAACTGGAAGGAGTTAAAACAGAGGGGGCTTGCTTTCCGAGTAAAAAGAAAATTCTGCATGCAGCTGCTTTGGCCATGCTGTCTCACTAGTCAGGAAATGGGTGTTGAGCTGGAGCTGAAAACACAAGCTGCAATCAAGCCCCATCCAGCAAAGTGACAGACTTCCTGTGTAAAATGGTCAGAAACCTTTTTCATGTCTCTACATGCATGCACATGCATTTAAATCCATGCTGCGAGGCTGCGATTTTCTCTGGGGACACTGGTACAGTCACCTAGCCCATCAGTTCCTTCGTTGACAGCGTCGGGGACATCCAGACTGCAATTTACAGTTCCTCCATCCATGTGCTGGGTTATAAATTATGCCATCCTCCCTAGAATGAGAATGCACAGCAAGCGGCAGACAATCACCCGGCATTCGGCATCTCTTTCTTTCCACGCGCTCCCTCACTCCGCCTTTCTCCAGCTCTGCCTTCTCAGGCAGATACATCAGATACCTTGTTTATCCATCTTCAGCTCCACTCTGAGGTAAAATGCCACCACATCTCGCCATGGGTTGACCCCCCAGACTAAATCCCTGGGAACAGCCTGAGCTGGGTGCACGCGGCCGAGGCGACGGCTGCCCTTGCCCTGCGGAGCACGGGTGGGCATTGGATGTAAGGTACTCCTAACTTCCCCTTCCCCAGTCCTTGGCGTCCTCTCTAGCCGTCCCACCCCAGGTCTTCTGCAGCTTCACCCTGTCCTCCAAGTCGCCTTGCCCAGCTGCGAGGGAGGAGACCCTGGCCGGAGCTCCGCCAGCAGGTCCTTCTTTCGCAGGGCGCAGACGCACGATTCCGGGATCGGGTGCACCACGGCGAAGCCCAGGCGGGAGACGGCAGGAGCAGCTCAGGTAACCAGGGGAAGCTTGGCGTGCCCACGGAGATGCAGCCCTGGAGCTGTGAGGAGAGACGGTCTGGCTTCAGAATTAAAAAAAAATAGAAAAAAAAAAAAAAAAAAAGAAAGAAAGAAACACAAAACAGCGCAGCTCGGCGCCAGCGGGGGTGGAAAAAACAGACACAAACCATAAAAAAAGCAAGAGTTAAAATCAAATTAAAAAAAAAAAAAAGGAATACAGAGATCAGAGTACTTCATGCGACTTTTATTTCTGATGTTTCTTGGTTTATTGGCCTCCCCACCCCCTCCAAAATCTGTTCTGTCCCTGAACACCACTGTCTGTCCATGAGTGCCAGTCACAAAGACTTGCTCCCAAGTGCTGCAGACCCAGCATCACATGAGAAACCACATGACAAACTGCAGTCGGCTGCTGATGTGGTCAACTCTTTCACCCAGGCAGGGGGAGCAGGAGGGAGACAAACCTCAAGTGAGACATGCCCCTCTCAGGCGGCCAGGAAGACATTTCCTTAAAAGAACAATGAGAAGCATGCCTCTGAAGCTTGCTTGGGAATACATATACACTTTTACATATGCGCACTTACAGACACTAAAGAGGCCGTGGATACTTGAAGACATTCTGAGGATGCTGTACCACAGACACTAGCTGGATGGCAGCAATATTATTTCTAGTTTGTATTAGTCAAAGCTGATTCCACTTAAGTGGATTCCTGAAAAGCACACACCACGTCTTCATAGCATGATCAGGCTTGGAAAACCAATTCTATTATCTCTCCCTGCAATCTGTATCTGAACCTGCATTCTGAATAATTTATTTTTAGACTAATAAGATGCTTGCCAAGACTGCTCCCTTTCTTCGGTAAGCAGCACAGGCAATATTCACCCGAGTAGGAAAGCCTTGTCCCTTTGTGGGGAGAAGAGAGGAGGCGGTTTTTTAAAAAAATGCAATTTCTTATTTAAAGGCAGACAAACACATAGCAATAAACTTCTCGCAAGTAATCTTAAAAACAAGTGAAATGTTCCTGCTTCATTGAATCGACATGTCTCTTATTTGCAGTTTGGCATCTCATGCTGGCAAATGGTGGTGATATTTTTCTAACACTGTTCATGGCTGCAGCTACAGCCCTTAAGCCACATGGATATTGCTACTTCTCAGCAGGGTGAGAGCAAACAATTGCTTTCTGGAGCACCTTTCTGTGGAGGTGCTGCACTGCCAGGTATGTTTTACTAGTTACATGAAGGCAAGTACAAGTGAGATTGCCTCAGGGTCTGTAGATTCTGTCACTCTTCCTGGAATTAAGTAAGTTGCCTATTTGGGATGTCCTTCCCAAGATGTGAGAGGTATGCCTTTTTAGCAAAATTGATTATGCCAGCTAACTAGAACCGGAGAACCATTAAACAGGTGAGAGATAATCGTCTACAACATGTCTCATTGGACTGTGTGGATATCAAGGTAAGCAGCCATTAATTCATTTGAGATGCCCTTTCAGCCTCTCACCATATAAGTGTGTCAAGGATGGCCCCAGACACTGGGGTTCCGGTGATGAGCAAGAGATGCATGGTCTCAGACATCCTGGAACTCAAGGTCCAGTAACTGCATACGTCTTTTGTCCTTCAAGACAACCTTTTCCCAATTTGAATTCTCCAAAGTTAACCAAGGAAGAGATCCAGCAGTCACTTTTTTTACCCTTGCCTCTTCAACATCCTCTATGATCTCCCAATTCCTATATATTCTCTCTTTGCCATCTGTCCTTGGATTTAAGATTTCTTCTCCATTTATTCCTAGAGTCCAAGCTCAGGTACTAATACCCTCCTCTCTGGTGACCCTCTTTTTGTTTCATTCCATTTGGCAGCCTGCCACCAAACTAATCCTCCCAAACCACCACATTCGTGATGTCCAGAACTACTGTCCAGATGGGCTAGACAACCCTTTGTCCAAAACCAAGGTGGCTCCTTATTTCTTCACATTGATACACTACCAGTCAAGACACTCTATTATCTGATTATCCATTGTCTGTTTAAACAGATTGGTCTATTAATGATCTTCTGATCACATCCTCGATTGAATCAGGAAAAAAACTGGGAGCTTAATTTTGTTAACAAGAAGGCACAAAGCATTGTACAAGAAACAAAGACACACGAAGCATTGACCGTGCCCTCAGAGAACATACACTCTATAGAGCCTACGCTACTTTTTTCTATCATTACTAACCATTTATTATCTTCTATTGCTAGTCATTTCTTCAGGTTTTATTTCCCATGAAAATAATTAGTAAGTCTCAATCCACTTGCTAAATGTGGGTCAGATAAGTGGTGCCACAGAAGGGCTGAAAAAGGAACAAACACTTCTACTTAAATGTCTGGGGAGGTTCCCCGAGTTCCCTGGGATTTGCAGTGAGCTATAAAATATTTGGCCAGGGAGTAGGGAGGGGTTTAGGTATTAACAACAATAGCAACAATAGCAACAATAGTAAGTGTTAAAAATTAGCACTTACTACGTGCCAGCATCTATTCTAAGCATTTTAGATACATTAACCTACTTAATTTTATGAGAAAATACTTTTAATAAGTTATTTTCAGTGATATACAGACAGAAGCACAAAAGAGAGATTAAATAAATTGTCCAAACTACACAGCAAGTAAGTAGTAAAGCGTATCTGGTCCCCAAGCGCATGGTCTTAACCACCATGCTGTCCTGCTTTGGAAATGAAAAAAATTGTGGGAGGGAGACCAGATATGTGAAAATACATACATATGTCTGAAGGTGGATGAAGGAATCACTGTGGTTCAAGTCAGGTGTTAGTGCTGTAGAAGTGGGACTAGGTTGAGGAGAGCCACAATATAAAGCTAAGACATTACCCCCCTCTTCATAAACAATGGGACCAAGAACGAAATTGTAGGATAATAAGTCCAGTAACCAAATCTAAGATTGATGGGGGAGGAAGGGATTGGATATAAGGAGACTAATCAAGAGGCTTCTGCAATTGCCTGGCTAAAAGGGAATGGTGCCCAAACCTTGGTAGTGGTGAAAGGAAAATTGAGATGGATTCTGGAGGTGTTATGAAGAAACAACATTATTGCAGTATTCTTGGAAAACAGAGAGGAGGTGATGGTAAAGCTGACTCTACATTTTTTAAAGCTCAGATGAAGAAAGAACGCAGGTCCCTGAGCTTAGGAGTTGTGTCATTCATCTTTTTTTCCCCCAGGAGCTAGCAAAATGCTTGATATGCCTTTTTAAAGTAATGAATAAATGAAGGTGATGGAAAGAGAAATGGGAACATCAGAAGTGATGATGCCACATATACCAAAAATCTCTACAGTGCATTTAGTAATTCACAGGATATCTGAGTGGCTTAGGTGGGTTGGCTTCCATCATGCCATTACTTATATAGAAATAGAATTTATTTTCTCTTTCCACCTTTGGCTTGGTTTTCAGATGCTACCTGATTTCCCCCACCACACGCCTCGGATGCTCTTCCTCAGGCTGATCTCGGTCAGCCTGCGTTTCCTCCGCCCTGCCCCAGTGACCCCCATCCTTGCCCACCAGCTGCAGACTCATCCTGTCCAGATCTGACCCCTAATCAGAATGTTGCACTTATCAGGACGATAAGATAAGCAGGCTAACATACTTTACCATTCTTTTATTTATTTATTTTTAATAGCAAAGGGAGAAACCACAGACGTTTATCAGCCTTCTCACACAATCTTAGCTAAAAAGAATACTAAATTAATGAACGCACCTCATTTCTTGGGCAGTTAATGAAGGTTAATGTGACATACTGCCTCTGGCTCTGGAAGTTAAAAGGGGTGTTACTGCCTCATATTATAGCTGGGAAAAAAAAGTGTTAATAATCTTTCTCATCAGCAGTAAAGAATTGAGCTTTTAATACCCAGATATATTTTAGTAAAAGGCTAGTATATCATCTGTAAGTGGAGTTCAAGAGCAATGTTAGATAACTAGGGCATTTCGAGAGCCCGCTTACACCAGAGACCAAGAAAAAAAAAAAAGAACAAGAGAGAGAAAAAAAAAAAAAACAGCCAAAGCTGAATTTATTCCAAGAAAAAAGAAAAACGTGAATTTATGTTGGGAATATTTTCATTTATATCACTTTAGATCAACTCTAATAATCTTTAAATAGTAAGAAGAAAACTTGGATCTCACAAATAAGTGATTTTGAGTAAATGGGTAAATGTGTGAGCAAGGTCATTGTTTGATTCAATGATGTTCACACAAATGCATTATGTGGACCTGCTAATCTAAGAGAGTGTGGTAGGCATTGTCTAGGGCCCTGAAAGAGCTTACAATACACTTACCCAGGAAGAAGACACTTCCCTTCCTTTCACAGAGGGAAGCTATTGCATTTGATGATAGTAAAAAAATAGCAGGGGAGGCAGGGTAAGTGCAGTGGCTCACTCATGTAATCCCAGCACCGTGGAAGGTCAAGGTGGGCAGACTGCTTGAGCCCAGGAATTCGAGATCAGCCTGGGCAACATGGCAAAACCCCATATCTACCAAAGAAAGTACAAAAATTAGCTGGGTGTTTTGGTGTGCACCTGTAGTCCTAGCTACTCAGGAGGCTGAGGTGGGAGGACCACTTGAACCTAGGAGGTAGAGGTGGCAGTGAGCCATGATCATGCCACTGCCATCCAGCCTGGGTGACAGAGCAAGACACTGTCTCAAAAAAAAGAAAAGAAAAAGAAAAAAAAGAAAAAGCAGGATATAGTTTAAAAAGAAAAAAAAAAAAAAGAAGGGTCTGCTCTCTTGACAGGGAGCCAACCCACCTAAGCCACCTGAAGATGTTATCATAGCAGAAAGAGCTTGCATGCTGTGAATATTCAATGAATGTGACTCTTCAATCCTTTAAGTTATATAAGAATGCTATGCTTTATCTGTGCAATCCTGGGAAATATTAATGATGGGCTGATAGTGTCAAGAAAGGCAGGGTCTATAGGTTTATTTAGCAGAGTTGCTAGAGGACTTAAAACTGCATATCATGGTTTCTAACCTCTTCAAAATGGATGCTGAATTAAGATGAGCCCTTCCCAAAGCAGACTGACAAAGTGACTAATTGCTGGCTGCTGGCAGAGGACTGATTTCCCCTCTCTCTGCTACCCAGCGTTATTACCCTCGTCCATTTCACAGGCTCCAAATGGCAAGTTTAAGGTGGAAGAACTGTGTTTGTTCACCTGTGAGTGGTTTGACCTTAGACTTTGCAGAGCACTGTCAGGAAGTCGGTTTTTCCATGCTCTTTACAGTAAACAAAGACAGTGTGGCTGGGCTCCAAATGTTACAGAAGGTCAGGGACCAAACTGCCTCAAAGACAAAGACTGCTTCCAGAAATTGAAACACAAAATAGATGTGAGCGCCATCAACATTCCACACTGTGCTCCTGTTCATTCTCAGTGTTTGCTTCAAACAATGTGACACATACCCAGCGTAGATGCATAATAGAAATAGAATCATAAAACCCCAGGTGCTGGAAAGCACCTTAAAGGTCATCTGGTCCAACCGCAAATCTAAATTGTCAATGCTGCCCTTTAAAACCTCCTCCATGTAATCATCCAGGCTCAAGGGGAACACCTCTGGTGACTATAAACGCAGTGCCCTGGGAGAGAGACAAGTCATTCTATCTTTTGAATGCAACAGCCTGAGTATTTAAAACCCTGAGCCAAGGCCTGGGCGTGGTGGCTCACACCTGAAATCCCAGCACTTTGGGAGGCCAAGACAAGCAGATCACCTGAGGTCAGGAGTTCGAGACCAGCCTGGCCAAGATGGTAAAACCCCGTCTCTACTAAAAATACAAAAATTAACCAGTCATGGTGGCACACGCCTGTAATTTCAGCTACTCAGGAGGCTGAGGCATGAGAATTGCTTGAACCCAGGAGGCGGAGGTTGCAGTGAGCCAAGATCACACTACTGCACTCCAGCCTGAGTGACAGAGTGGGACTCCGTGCCAAAAAAAAAAAAAAACAAAAAAACTCTGAGCCAAAATGTCCTATTCTATGACAGCAGGAGCCTCACTGGAGCTTCTGTTTATTAGCCCTCGATTTGGAAGCTCAAATCTAGCAAGACTGCCACATGATGACCCCTCAGTTACTGGAGGGCATATATCATCCCCCATCCAGATTTTCCTCCTCTACACAAAATATCTGCAATTTCTTTAGACATTACTCTGTGACTTCAAGTCTATTCAACATTCAATTTCCGAGCCTAGGAATACATTCCAGTTGATCAATAGTGTTTTGAATGATGTGTCACACAAAACATAACACAAGGTCCCATGATGTGGCTACACAAAGCGAAACAGTCCTATTACTTCCATCATTCAAACTGATCATATTTCATTTAGTGCAGACTAACCTGCATTTTCTTTCCTAGTGGGTACCTCATGTTGGTGACTCTTACTGGGCTCACCTGTGCCTTTGTTCATATAGTTTCACTTAAATCACATTTCTACCATCTTCAACGTCTTTGTGCATTCATTTGACTGGTTTTGTTTTGTTGTTGGTTTTGGTTACCATATGTGATCAGGTTTTAGGTATATTTTAAAACATTTTTAAGCCAGGCATGATGGCTCATGCCTGTAAGCCCAGTACTTTGGGAGGCTGAGGGGCAGATCACTTGAGCTCAGGAGTTTGAGACTAGCCTTGGCAACATGGTGAAACCCCATCTCTACAAAAACACAAAAACTAGCCAGGCATGGTGGTGTGCGCCTGTGGTCCCAGCTATTCAGGAGGCTGAGGTGGGAGGATCACTCACTGCAATGGAGGTTGCAGTAAGCCATGATTGCACCACTGCACTCCAGCTTGGGTGACAGAGTAAGACTCTGTCTCAAAAATAAAAAATAAAAAATAAAAATGAAAAGAAAGAAATAGTAGTAAGTCACTCTTGAAGGAGTCATAGATATACTTATAAATACACATATCTATCCATGGTAAGATACAAGATTTATGAGAGCAGAAGTTCTTAGAAAGCATTGAGTACATCTTCTGTTTTTCATATATCACAACAGCACTGCATAGAATAAAATAACTCTGATTATATAAAATACCCTGGCCTAGTAGGAAAAATATGGGACTAGAAGTCAAAAGCTGTTGGATCTGGTATCTGTGTTGCTACAGACTATCTGTTTATCTGTTACATAATTATCGAAAGGTCACTTTATCTTTTTCCAAGCTATAGTTTCCTTCATTGTAAAGTGAAAATCTCAACAATAAGCACCCTGAGTTGTACCGCATTCTAATAATTTATATTTCTGTGGAATTCTAATTAAATTTGTAAGTCTATTCTTTAATACAATGGAATAAATTGTATATTAGCCAGTGGTTAAGCCCTGACTAAAATTTTCTATAGACTTTCATTAACATTAGATAAGTTTTACATTAAATTGTATCTTAAGTGAGTGAATGGCATATTCACAAATCAGAAAGTTCTTATGTCCAGAGTTTTTTTTTTTTTTAAATATGCCAATTAGGGAAATTAGATAAGTCTGACTGGGGGTCCTGGAATCTTTACCCTCTGATAAAATAACAGTTTTGAATAGGTGAACCAATTACTGAGATTCTTGGGGTAAGGAATAAATGTCATAATGTGATATCATCACTTTCCTATAATCCAAATGTCTTCTTAAAATGTCTTTAATTAACTATACAGAGAGAACCTTTAGGTTGAAAAGATCTAGTTTCTTCCACATTTTTTAACTAGAGCCATGACAACAGAGTGCCTTGATGTCAATCAGCAGTTCCCACAATGGGACTACTATTCACATTCTGAGCGAGGGGGGAGGGAACGATGGCGTATGGTCATAACAAGAGAACAACCGCCCATCTTAAAATCTTGCATTCGAGTAAAATTAACTCCATGATCAGATTCTAAGACACACCCTCATAACATTAACTTCACAGAGTACAATAGTTGGTCTTTTTACTAAGTATATTATGGGACTATGCAGTTTTTCTCTCAGATCAAAAGAACTAAAATAAAAATTGGAATGGTGGGCTTTATTTTCTCAAAATCTGGGCCCGGTTTTGACCCAGCCTTTCTCTGTGCATATTCCTTCACCATCCTGACCTCAGCACCATCTCCTGTAAAACAGAGGAGGTCTCTGAGTGTCTAGGCTCTCTGCCCATATGTCAGAAAGGAGGCATGATTTTTGGCTTTTGAAGATCCTCTGCTTTCAACATGTAAGCTATCCAAGCAGCTTATGATCCTAGAGATCCACAAGTCATATTGTATCTTAGTTTCTCTCATTCTTAAAAGCCTCATGGCAAAGACCCTAGTGCAACAATATTTTCTCAGTCTCAAATCCCTTTCTGGGCATCAGGCAGAGGGCTCTCAAGCCAAGACCCTGGGTTTCAGTAGCAGGGGGCATGCAGCACTTCATGAGCCTGAAAAAAAAGCCACAACTATATGATGCGCACATAGTCCAGACATAGAGAGTGATGCGGAGATGGACTGATGCCTTTTGATGTTTGCAAAATATACCTAGGTAGAAAACTGTTACATAATTAAGTGACCAATGACATTTGATATGAACAAAAGTTTAAACATTAGCTTACTCTAACCAATATGATACTCTAAAATGCAATTAGCACAAATGACCACATCTCCATTCAAGTAGCAAGGCAGACTTTTAGAGGAAACCTTAAAATAATTAAAGTGGCCACGTTCAGGATGTCAAATGCATATAGGTATATCATTGGCTGCTAAAGCAGTAAAGCTTTCTCAGGCAATAGAGGAGGCAGGCTTATGCCCAAGATTAGACTGAGTGTCTTACTGAAGTACAGTGCCCCCGCTCCACTGCATTTGATGGCCTTTTCTGCAGGTCCTCCAAGATCAGTGTTATAGTATTATGGTGTCTACAGGATGTAGGTACATGGAAGGGAAGAAGGGATGGCAGAACTGGAAAGAAAAGATGTTCATTTTTTACTCCATTTGAGTCAATGCATGCTTTATGTAGAATTCATCCCATAAGGTCAAAAACCTAATAAGGCCTTATTTTAAAAGTTCTGAAACATGCAG